TGTAGAAAACGATAATACATAAACTGGAAAAAAATAGCAAACCAAAATCCAACACAAACAAATGTAACAAGAGAATATTTAAACACAGAATTTGTTTCAGCTGAATGAATTGCATATATAATCGAGAATGATATATTTTCAATATAATAAATTGTATAAAAACCAATATAATGTAAACGAGTATCACCTTTACGTAGATTCTAAAATAATACAAACATTTTTTCTATGTCAATAAAATGATCAAATATTTACCATATAACAAAATATAAATATATATGAACAAACAAGATTATAACATTTCTCAAATATTGCTTCTCGTGGATTATATTTCGTTGTATCACTTATACAAAATATTGTACGCTAAAAATAAGAATAATAACAAATTTTAGTACTTGAATTCAACTTACGAGGGAAGTACCCGAAGGGTGGGTGTGGGTGGAGTAGATGCAGTGAATAATTACACCAGTATCCACACCCACACCCACACCCTCAAGATGGGTACTTCCCTCGTAAGCTCTCAATATTTATAGGTAAATTTCTCGAAATTTTAAATAATTAATAAGACCTACAAAGCGGAGTATCCAAAAAAGCATGCCAAACCAATGCCCAACAAGAATAATCCAAAACCATGAACGAAATGTTGCAGCAAACATTGCAAGTGCCAATACTCGTGGTGTTATTAAAAATAAATACCAAAACTAAATACAAAAACATTTATTTTCAAAAAAAACTTCGAAATTTTTTTCATTAAACATACCCATTGAATAATTGTACTCCACCATGAAACTAATCGTGGAGGTGCTTTACCTTTTGGCCAACCATGTGGTGAATGTGTTAATTGCATATGTCTCCAACATCTTGAATAACCACTTAATGCATATGCTAATGAACCAAGTGATGAAATAATTGATAAACATTGTTTGGCAAATAAAGTATCAACTTAAAAAATAAAAATAATAATTATTAATTAATCAAAATAATTATATATACATTTCATTGATGTTGAACCAAGTCTTAACATAATATATAATTGTAATATAACTTGAGAACCCGAATCCATAAAACAATCAAATACACGTAATAATGCAATATCAGCATCAATTAATATTTGTTTCGTTAAATAAAATCGTGCCCATTTTGGATTATTACGTTTTTGAAAACCTTTCCATGTATAATATAAACCACGAATATATCTAAATAAGAATTTTTTTTGTTAAATTTATCAATGTATTCTTTTAATATTTACTTAAGACATAAATCAA